TTGCCTTGCCTTGCCTTGCCTTGCCTTGCCTTGCCTTGCCCTGCTTGCTTGCTTGCTTGCTTGCTTGCTTGCTTTGCTGTAGCATGCGTGCATGCTGCGTGCATGCAAGCATCTATATTACTAAACTACCCAGTCTTCAGCCAACTACAAATGTAGATGGTGGAGTTGGACGTGTGCATCGCACAATGTTTTCACTCGGTAATTGGTTTTTGTGGTCACGGTGCCGACCGCCACGGGCGCTCGTACTCGCCAGCTCCGAGCTCCCAATGCTCTTCGCACCTTGGAGATCTCAGGTGTTCAGGTCGTGATGTTTTGGCAACATGCGGATGTGATCTCAGCGAGTGGTAGGTTTATCCCCCACACCAAGACGCAGCCTGGAGAATCTTTCAGGTTCAACGCAGGCTCAGGGGTTCGTTCTCGGGAGTCTCCCGCAAGAAGCGGGCTCATTGGCATAGGAAAATTGTGCGGTTTTTGAATCCCCGCCAATGGGCCGGCAGAACGTTGGCCTGTTTGTAGATTTTGTTCGGGTAACACTGGCAAGCAACATCGTTAGAGAAGTAACCGAGTCTCACCATGGTTTGGACGCTTGAGGTACCATAGGCTGAGGGACTGGTCCAACCGTGGTCTGGGAAGTGGAGGTTGGCCCCCAAGAAAAGAAAAGCAAACAGTTAGTAATTACTGAAAGAAAAATGCACCAAAAAGGGTGGACCAACCTATTTGGGGGTTAGTGCAACATTTTTCAATTTTGGGCCAGGAGGATTGAACCCTTGGCACAAGTCATTTTAATAGGCCCGTGGACGGTAAGGGTTGCGGGCTGAAACCCTGTTCCACAACCAAGGACGCAAGACGAGCATGGATGGTCGCATCGTGCGGCAAAGCAGCTCGGAGACAGATACCGCAGGGGTTGAAATCATTTCACCAACATGGCTACAAGGTTTCCTGGAAGATCTCCAAAATCTCGTTGGAGATCGGTGTGGCCTCCAGCGGTTTTTCCTTGCGCTCATGACCGATGTCAGGTGTCCCCCGTGAGCAGCCGCCCCGCAGCTACACTCACTCCGGGGTCACGGATGGTCAGGACAGTCGTTCTGGTCGTGGTTGACTTGTCCCGTTCGGGGCAGTCGGAGATGTAGACGACGGAGTACGGTTGAGGTGTTGGGATTACTCTCAAACCACAGGAACTTCAGATAAATATTGAATAATTACCCAGCGGTTTTTCGGAAAGCTTTGCCCACCTTCCAGTAGGTTTCTGAGTTCGGCCTTGGGTGCACATCCAGCCTTTTCAGAGCGAAGCTGCCCACCCACCAAGACAGAAAGGGATATGACTCGACGGGATCAGCGTATCAATTTTCATGAACACATGTTCGTCTCGGAGATCACTAGGTTTGAACAAAGACCTCCCCTGGCACTCTGAGTGTAACTCGGTGACTTTCAGGAGACGGAGAATGCCACCATGGTGGCGGTGGTGCCATCACTGGCTGCCTGGCCAAATTTGCTCCATTCCTGTTCTTTTTCCAACTTGTGTCTTTCGCAACAACGGTTATATGGATAAGGCAGCCCATCCCCTTGTGTGAAATCGCACTTGCACCTAAAACATGAAGCCCTTGTCATCGGCTTTGCCGGCCTTTGGGAAAATTGATGGGATTGTTGAAGGTTAAGCTGGGCAAATTTTGATCCGTGCCGCCAAAACAGGTGGTACTTGATTTTTTTTCGGGCTCCTGTTGCATGTTGATTCACGTGGTACTGTAAATCAAATGAAGGCAACTCCCGCCCGCGGGATCATGTTTCAGTGAAGATGAACTCCCTTGATCTTTTCAACCTCGAATTGACCTGCCGTGCCATTTGGGACTCCTCATGCTCATGTCATCCCAGGTGAGCGTTTACGACAGGTCCAGGCATGATACACTACAGTGAATGCAGAGTACAGTGCCTGGGTCGTCGCCTAGCTGTTTCGGAGGTGGTAGGTTTTTATCGCTTTGTCAAGGGCTGTGCACGAGTTGGAGAAGTTCAACGGAGTATTGACGGAGTATGATGGTTTCATTGGATGGAGCCAGAAGAGTTGATGTGATTGATTGGAGTGTCCAATGGTCCTCCAAGCTGTTCCATGACCTCCAAAAGTGCACAGTTCAATGAAGTTCAGGTCATGCCAGGACGTCGCCCTGGTAGTGTTAGGTAGTGCCTAGAGTTTTCAAATCAGCCCTGGGGCCCTAGGCAAAACAATCCTCGATGGTCCTCCTTCCTTTGAGGGTGCAAGCGAATGCACTGCACAGACCCCATGGGACTCGGCCTGGGTCGCTCGTGCTTCGGGAGAGCGTCGCCCAATGATCTGACCAAACGGTTACTGTACTAGTAGCGTTCTTGCTCCTAGTAGCGATGCCCTTTGCTCCTAGTGGCGTTTTTGCTTGGGTTTTGCAAAGAATGGAGGACGTTGCTGGTTCTTGTGGCCTCTCCCCCAGCACCTTGACCAGCAGCCGAAGAAAAAGGCGATGGATTTATTCCACCGATTCGGATCGGCACGGATTGCAGAAGATATTCCAAGAAGCAGGGTCCACCCCACCCCCCAAAATAGAATTTTAGAGGGAAAATGAGGGAAAAGAGATCTCCACGATCCACGGATCATCCATGGCGAGTTCATTCGCCGAACGAACTGCAATCGCGACCGCGACCGAGCCGAACGTTTCGCGACGGTCCCGCGAACGTGGGGACGTCGAGACTTCCAGCGGGTGGGGCCTTCGGCGGCCTTCGGCCGGTGCGGACCAACTGGAGGATCAAGTAAGTAGAAGGGTCTCAATGCAGAATCTATTCAAGGCAGCCAGGCAGAGTCTTTAGGGTTGGTGCACTGTTGTGACATGGAGGAGTGACACGGTTTCACATGATTCACCGTGGTCATGATGTGCCGCCAACTCCTTGCATCGGGTCGAGCAAAAGGCGCCGTGATTTCGTTTGGGCTAAAGCCCCGCGTTTGTGTGATGGGTTTCCCACGTTTGTGATGTCCGGCCGGAAGCTTTCAATCATAGAGGCTAGCTGCTAGACGCTCTTTTCGTTTTTGCGGTCGAATGCGGAGTTTTTCTGAGACCAAATGAAGACCAAACCATTAAGAATTTATTCAATGGTTCTTGGGAAAACGATCTGATGGATTGAAGGTGTCAAACAGTGTTATAACAGATAGCAGACTGACTGAGGTCGTAAGAACCTTACGACAGGGGATCACTGTTAACATGCCCTCTCGAAAATCACATGGGTATCCATAAAACGTTTCTATGAACTTTGCTATTGTTCTTACATTTGGCACAGGAGCTTTCTGTAAATTTTTGAATCTGTGGTGAAACCCTGAGAACTCGTCAGATTTGCATCCGCGAAAACGGCATAGGCCGTGCAGGATAAAGCGCAGGCAGCTTTGTGGTTTCAGAGTTTCTGATGTATTCTGGTTTCGCAACCCGGGGCACCCGCCCCCATCCTGGACGGCCTCGGGTGATGACTTGAATGACTGTGGGGTATATAGGCCTTTTTTGATCATGCGTGTTGTTTTATGAAGCGATGATCACTCCAGCTGGGCGATTCGCTTTTAGCTCCATCACGTTCCTCCAAGAAACCGTTGACTGAGTTGGCCCCAGATAGCCAGGACAGGAATGCAAAGAATAGTTTCCGGATGTGATTGGCATTCTTTGCCCCTGCATGGTGAGATTTAGGAAAGTATCTTGAGATTCCCCAGGCAAGTGAGTTCCAAGGTTCAACCCTTTGCGTGGTGGGTGTGCTTCTTAGGTGTGCACCAATGACTCATCTTTGCTCCACCAAGTCCGTGCTCGTCACCTCGTTGATTTGTTTGAACTTCGCCAGGGATGCCAGGAGGTGCACTTACTAGTAGCGATGCCCTTTGTTACTAGTAGCTTCTTGTTACTAGTAGTAATGCCAGGAGCTACTAGTAGCGTTCTTGCTCCTAGTGTCCTTAGTAGCGATGCCCTTTGCGGTTGCTCCAAAGTCAAGTGGCCCAGCCGTTGGCGCCGTGCCCAGGGCCGGACGCGGATGGGCCAGGCGCCTGGGGGCCCAGATTCTCAAGAACCAGACCCAGCAGGACCCAGACAGATCTAGACGGACCCAGGAGGCCGAGATCTCATCTAAAACGGCGACCGATTCCATGGAATCATGGAGTTTGGGGAACGCTGGGGAGCTTGGGGACCTCACCACTCTGAAGCCCAGACGAAAGCCGTGTGCGAACTCATTCGATGTGGGTGTGAAGAACGGGTCTGATGTTGTTTTAGAAATAAGCTGCTGGGCTGTAAAAGAACTGGCCGAAGAGGACACACGGACATTTGCGATCAGTCTATTTTAGCCACCAAAACGATAGAACAGTTTCCAAAACATTCTTGAAGATCACAATTGCATACAATTGCATTTTTTGTATAATATATATATAATTTCATGGCTTTCTTCACATAGTGAGACTTCACATCTTGAAACGATTGGGTCACCATGGTCACCCTTGTTGAAGTGGCCCCATAGTGATAGGCAGCTGGACTGGACCTGAACGATTGCGGATTACACGTGGCCTTTGGGGGTTGTCTGACCATCGCCCAGCGTGCATTTGGGGCTCAAACTGTTTAGTGGACTGAGCCAGCTGCTCTCCTCCTCCTACACCCACTCACTCACTTACTCACTCACTCACTCCCCACCCCACTCACTGACTGACTCACTCACTCACTCACTTACGCCCTTTGGCTTCACACCTCCACATAGGTCCTCCTCTCCACCCACCTGACCTGACGCATGATCTGTCACAGCATTCACACCCAAAGCCCCACAGCCCCCCACACTTCTTTGGGGATCACCAGTTCATGAGATTCACAGATTCATGAATTCCAATGCATCCAACTTGCTAGACAGAGTCAAGTCAATCACATGAGACTCATGTGATGCAGAACCATCAACGCAGTCAACAGCTCAGAACTTCTTGACCCCTGGCTGCCTTTTTGTAGTTCGCGGGGCGCCGGGAGCCCTGAAGTGAATGCAGGGTTTGGCCAGGGGCGTCGGACCGAGGCTACGGCTTGTCAAACTGGGGCTTGTCAGCTCAGACTCACCGGAAGAAACTGAGACATACTGAGACTCGTGATTAATAACACCCTCTTTTTGGTTGGATTGTTAAAACCTCTTCATCACCTCCCATTGCGGTCTGTCCTGAATGAAGTCCCCTGTTAGGACACGACGCGCATCACTGCGGACACTCATGGTCTCACAGCGGAATTTGTACAGTGAAAAGGATGACCAAGTCGAACCAGAACCACACAAGAAATCAACCGGATCCAGTCAAGGGAATTTCCCAAGAGGAAAGCAACTTTGAACAGCCAGCGTCCATCATCTGAGCCAAACCATGAAGTTCGGCAGGAGAAAAGAAAGGAACGGCACCAACAATCGCGCCCTGGGGGAACGATCGCCCCTCAGATTTCCTGGTTTGTAGACAAGTGTAACCGGGAAACACCTGGTGGTCAGGAATTTTGCCAATGTGAACAAAGATCCTGCGCAGCCAAAAGGAAAGATCCCGAAAAGTAATATCATCGCCACAACAAGCTTCAAGGGTGTATCCTCGTTTCTGAAATAAGAATGCAAGTTCCATATAGGATGTGCAAAAAGCGTCACCAACTTTCCATGCTAAAGCACGGGCAAATCGAATGAAAGTAGTAATGTCATTTGAAGAGTGCTGTGAAAACCACGGAGTCGAAATGTCTAAGACATGTTCAAAACGCCATGGAAAGTCAGCAAGATTCTGGTTCCAGTTCCAACGACCAAACTTCCGTCGGAGGGAAGTTGCATCCTCACACACTGGAATCTCCTCAACAACTGCAGTTGCAGGAACTTCCGGAGTTGATAACTCGTTCAATCGAGCCAGAAAATGTTGTCGTGCAAAAATAGCCTGTTTCATCTGTGTGTACATTTGTACCTCAACAGGAAGAGAGGCAGCAGCGATCTTCTTGGCAGCAAGGTCAGCTTTGCGATTACATAAGATGTGCTGTACTGTCGTGCCATGTTCAGCAGCAAAGGCGGGAGAAATAAGGAAGTCAGGTACGTCATCCCCAACATGTGAGGGGATCCAGAACAAACGCACAGGTTGGCACTCATTCATATCCCTCGAACAATAAATCTGCAAGATAGCCCGCCACCAGCAAGAATTTGTCCAGGAAGGATCAACACAACGCTGAGCAATGAGAATATTAAATTGGTCAACAACAGATTTGCAGTCGGAGAAGATGTCAATATTGCATGTTGCGTGTAAGCATGCTCTATAGACGGCAAAAAGCTCCGCGGTGTATGAAGTCAAAACCGGGCAACAAACTCTTTCGGCATGAATGCAAGCTCCTTGCTCGTTGGCCACGCTACATCCTGCCGTGGTAAGCCAGAATGACTCAGGGTAGAACACGGAGCCGTCTGTCCATAGGGAAGCACGAGGTGCATATGGATTGTGAACAGCACACACGTCATCATGAATGGATGTAAACTGCAAACGATGCTTACAGATGCCAATTGGATGCTCACAGATTCCTAACATGGCAAAGTTTTCACCAAATTCATGACATGGGGGTTGAGCAAGGGGTAAAGCATCAACACACTCGAAAATCCAATGTGGCATGGATTCAGGTTTGACATGACAGAACCGACAAAGGTTGGATTCAATCAGGTTGGCAGCACATAATCGGTCGTTTGTCAGGGTACAACCAACAATCTGCGAATCGAAATAAGGCAAAAGATTGGTTTCGTCCTTTGTAGCCACATATTGACGACGAAAAGTGGCAGTCAAGAAAGGGTCAATAAAGCCCTTAGGTTTGTAGATGTCTTTACGTTTTTGATCTGCAGCTCTCTCATAACAATACTGAACAGCAAGAACTTGCAATAAGCGTCTGAGCTCACGGACCCCAACTTCGAGGGGAGGGAAGGCGATATCACAAAAAACAAGCTCAAGCTTTGGAGACAAAGATAAATGGAAAAGAGACAGGGCTTGCTGCACTTGCAATAAAAGACTATGCTTGGGCAGCTCAGGACTTGCCAACATGTGGCAGCATTGAGCCACACGTGATGGCTGAGAATGAATACAACGCCAAAAGTTCAGAATGCAATTATATGCACGAACACAAACAGGTTCGACACGATGCGGGATTGAAAGCAGGGCAAAAACCAGCATCTTAGAACGCCAGTGTGGCCGAGAGCCCCAATATACAGAAACAAGTTCATTTTGGATACGCTCAAGCGAACGCTTGGGAATCTTAGAAATTTGGGTTGCAAAAGAAATTTGCGGGAGGACTTTGGCACCCAAAAGATCAGTTTTGACCTTGATTGAAACAGGCAAATTAGAGATATTCTTGATGTCGGAAATGACTTTACTGCATTTGGCAGGATCGAACAAAAAAGCATTACGCTCAGATGTATAGATCTTAGCCCCCAAAACATCGAATTCTAACGAAAGTGGCAACTGAGGGAAAGCTTCTTTTGCAAGGATTCTGGCATTGGCAGATGTTGCCCAAAGAACGCTTTTCTGGTGATTTAAATGCTGTCCTACCATAAGTCCCCACAGCTCAGTCGTACGAAGGGCTTGTTGCAACAAATGTAAATTTGTGACACTCACCCAAAAGTACGCATCATCAATGAAGACACGACAGGTGATATCATGAAAACGATCGACGAAGCATGCCCACACATGCATATGCACATTAATGGCAAGGAGCGACAAAGAACAACCCTGGGCAACACCGTTTGCGTTGGTCACAGGGACATGGGAAATCCAATTACGGTATGAAAGATGCTTCTTCAGTCCACGATACATCATGGAGAACATGTTGACTACACCTTTGGGAAGGCCTAGAGCTAACATGAGAGCTGCAGTGATCGGCGGAACAATACGGTCAAAACATTTAGATTGATCCAGCTTGATGCCAGTGAGAGGCTGATCGTCGACTTTTGCCGCATCAATATCTAAACGAAGCCCATCGCTCACTGCAGCCATTGATCGCCCTTTGATCCCACCAAACAATGATGGATGGAGTGTAGTTTGCTGCCACTGCTGTAGCTGGCGAAATCGAGTCCCTGAGTAAGCCAACAATAAGGGTGACAGGGCCGTTATAAGTCTCTTATTCAGGGGCGAAGCAGGTCCAGGTTTATTAAGTAACGCTTGTTTAGCGCGAAGCAAGACATCAGGGATCGAACCTCCACAATCAGTCTCCAATTGGTTGAAGAACACAGCAATTTGTTCAAGACACTTCCTGGGCAGCAATTGTAGCTCGGTCGTGCGCCACCCATCCATTCCCGGTGAAGCAAGAGGATTGCGTGCTCCGATTGTCATGGCAAGATCGGCGGCTGTCAACTCAGGTAAAACGATAGGAGTGGCGGTATGTTGAATATAAGGCCACACGAAATGTAAAACCCTGAGAGGGTCTTCATGCAGTGCATTTGAGGCAAAAATAGTATCCCATTGTTGATTGACATGGTGCAACGCCTCAGAAGGCTGGTAGAGAATATTACCGGAGGAATCGGTGACTAGATTGACAGGTTCATCTATGGACTTGGTCTTGAGATGATGGTAAATATACTTCTTTGTAGAAGTAGCAGAATGCTTAATTTGGGAGCGCCAAGCATTGATTCTCTGTTGTTTCTTACAAAAATCCCAGTTCTGCAATTGGACCTGAACCCACTTCCGGCAAAGTGCAACCTCAAGAAGTGAAGGTTCAGTTGGGATGCGCCAAACATGGGGGCACTTGAGTCCGTGGAGGGACCTGCAAACTTTCTTAGAGGTACGCTGTAAGATATGCAAGTCTGCAATGCTTGAGGCTGGTCTCTGCAGTCGGACAAATAGCTCATCGAGACGAGACAGCGCATTCTGTAACCACGACGCTCGCAGTGAGAGCGCGGAACCGGATTTAGCTTGACCGGGACAAAACTGTTTATATTGAAAAAGGGGGAGTGCCCTTCGTTTCCGGGGACCATGACCCCAGTGTGCACCTGAAGACAGAAGGGTCTGAGAACAAAAATCATTTAACGTATTCCACTGTTGGTCAGGGTTAGTATGGTGTGCGTAAAGCCTGGCAAAACGTGAGTTCCACAAAAAGTCAGCAACCTCATTAGAGGGGTGAGTCGGATCAAGACCGGGCTTGTCCAATGACTCAGTAACAATCGGGGCAAACTTCTGATGGATAAACCCATGCTGCCAAATAGTCGGCCAAGAGAAGGTTGCACGCACAGGACGGTGTTGTGAGTCAGATGTTTGAACTACTTGAATCGATTGCATCGCACAGGATGCGACTTGGTTGACAAGAATACCATCAATTGACGAGCAAAAGTCGCCATGGCCTGAAAATGTACTATCCTTAGAATAGGTTAACGGCCTGATGGACTCACCCAAATCATCTAAAGTAGTCAAGGGGTCAAACCAGTTATGGAAGTTGACTGCATTCGAAATGCTGGGATAATGCAAAGGCGGAGATTGAAAATCTCCTGCTAGAATGATGGGAATGGACCCAAACTGAGCACAAATAGTAAAGATGTCTGCAAAAAGTGCATCATTATACCCAAAAATCTGTGGGTTGGATGAAGCAGAAGTTTTAGCATAGATAGAAAAGATAAGAGCACGAACAGTAGGGGTCACCTGAGCCCAACATGCATTTGCACGGTGTGACGAATAGAGTTTGCTGTAAAGACCGGTTTGATCGGAAGCAGGATCAAAATCAAATGATAATTCAGGAGGAGCAAGAATAGCCGTGCCTCCATGCATGACAGAATGCTGGCCATCGGACCTGATAAAACCCTTGAGAGGGGCACAAGTAAAAAGCTGTTTACCGATTTCTTTAACAGACTTCTTAGCCTGGAGAACATTGTTGCACCCTGTTAAAACCTCTTCATATCGGAGGTTGACTTTGCCAGCTTGCATGGCTCTTCGCCACTGGTGTGGTCTTTTCTCCTCGGAAAAGCTGTGAACCGTGTGAACGTGGCGGCTGGGTCCTACTGGTAAGCAGGTGAGCAGCGTCAAAAACCTCCCACGAACAGTTTAAGCAAACTTGATCAAACTTGTAAACTCCAACTTGCCCGCGGAAGCCAAAACTGCAGTCGTGGAAGCTTGCGGAAGCCACCGCGTAAGTATATGGTAAACTTCACCATCGCTGAAGCTTTGCGCAAGTGCACATTGTTATCTTCTTGACAATAACAAATGCCTCAACACTTTAAGGAGATTTGTCTAACCTATGAGCACTTTTGAGAAATACATCGCGGAAGCGCCGCGGAAGAGGATTTCAACCAAACATGGCCCGCGGAAGCCAAAACACAGGTCTCGCGGAAGCTCCGCGCAAGCATTGGCGGAAGCAAGCCATGAGTATAACAGATCGTAGACCGGTTTTTGACACCGCTCAGGTGACCTTTTTGAGCGAAATTGTGGACCTCTGAGATGGATGTAATGCCCTTGTTACTTCTTGTTACTAGTAGATACTAGTAGTAATGCCAGGAGCGCCCCTGGTAGCGTCCTTGCTCCTAGCAGCGATGACCTTTGCTCCTAGTAGCATGTTTCATGTTTCAGTAATTTTCCTTTTGGATGCCCTACACCTTCCAGATTTTTCCAGCTTTCTCAGCCACCCGAAACTCGAAGTCGGTGTTACGGGCTAAGTCGCATATGGCAAACTGAGTAAGGACTCAAGGACCTTCCCAAGGATGCATCGGCCAAACATCTCCTGGGAGGTAGGTTTCTCACTGGAGGGAGGTGGTTGAATTTCCTATCCGGTCCTATCCTCGATGGTTCTGTTCAATGAGTTTGACTGATGGCATTTCGGCTTTCGTCATGTCAGTTGAACTGATGCAGCCAAGCCCCAGGTCACGCGGATCACGACCAACATGGAGAGACCTAGCAAGGAGGACTCCCGTCGACCTGGATGCCTCTTTTTCGGAAATGATCCTTGAGTGCGGCCCATTCTTTCGCGCAACCCACGCACGTTTGGGCGGCATGGGTGGAAACATTTTTGAACCTATCGAGAGGTGGTTCCAGAAGTAGACAGCACAAGCTACCCAAGAGTCCCACAGGTTGTACCATGTGTAATCACACTCTCAACCTAATTATATAGTTGATTTACTGTACCTAGCTGCTCATCATATTGCACAGGTCGCTTGCATGACCAACGCATCAACTTTGGACTTCCACCTCCGAGGGGCTGACCGACACCGCTTGGAGCACTCTCTTTGTCCTTGCGCGACGTGCTCGCGAGGACGAACCTTTCACCAACCTCTACGTGAAATGCTTCCCTTCTCACTTCAAGGAGCGTCTCGGAGGCAACGGTTTCACCGACCCAATCGCTAAAATTAAAGTGCTAGGATGCCAGCTCAATGGGAATTGTTAGTTGATTGAGAGGTGCTGCCCATTGCTGCCCCTTCTTGATGTTTATATACTTCTATTTTGGTCATTTGTTGGGGTATAATAATCACACTCATGGGATCTCAATGTATGTTTGAGCATGAGAAACTTTAATCTCTCAAAGACGCCCGGGCAAGGAGAATGGAGTAGACAACCCATTGGTTTAAAAAGTCCGCGCCGCGGCGCTACGTGCAAAGACGTTCTTTCTGCACAGGGGGCATCACCGGCTTTTAGCAGCAAGCTCTGACACGGCATGCCTTAGAAATGAAATCTTCTCACCAGCCCCCGGAAGGAGGGAATGCAATCTCGACTCTGTAATTAGGCTGGAATCATGCAGCCTAGCTAGCTGCGTCTAGCGGCTAGCTGCTAAGACCATGGGCCTAGTGGCCTAGCGCGTGGCCGCTTGGCCTCAGCCGCAGGTGTCAACTCAGTAGCCATGGACCCAACATCCGTGGACAGCAGCGGCATGGGAGAGTGGTCCCTGTCCAAACGCCATGCTTGGTGGCCAGGTGGTGTATCAGTCAGAGCATCGGTGGAGAAGACGGTCGCTCTACATTCCGTGCAGTTGCGTCGCAGGTGAAGGCTGGCCGAGGTCGGAGGCCATTGTTGGAGATTGGGCAGCCGGCATGGATCCTGGTAGAAACAGTTGGAACGAACCAGCCACACGCCCACCATGTGGTCATCTCCACAGGGCCGGCCGCCGGCGGCCCAGTGTTCCTGGCAGCAAAGGCCAAATTTATCATGACCAGCTTCCAATGATCCAACAGGAAGAACCACGGCCACCACCATGCGGGGATGTCAGTTCACCTCCTGCGAACACAGCGGCTCAAAGTTCCACAAGGTCCCTCTGTGGGTTGTTGTTTTTCCTCTCTGATTGTGACAGGTTTTTGCATGGAAAGTTGTTCCACCTCTCTGCCAGGCGGTGTTTTCTTTTTCTTTTTCAGGATCCCCCGCCTGCGCTCGTCTGTTTTTTCTGGATGCTCGCGCCTGCGCGGGTCGCTGGAGCCGAGGCAAGACCTTTGTGAGCTCTTTGATGGTTTCGGCCCGATTCAGGCGGCCAAGGTGGGGAATTCGCAGATTCCTTGGTACTTTTTGTGATGTCCATGACTTGCCATGAGGACTTCAGGCAGGAAACCAACAATCCGCCTTCTTGAAAACTGACCATTGCACTTAGCGACTTTCGTTTCGGTGGACATGTAATCCACATCCATTGGGATGTTGCACTTTTTGTGGCCCGACATGTGCAGATCATGATGGACCAACGGGGCCGAGCCTTTGGGTTTGTGAACTTCGAGCAGTCCAAAGATGCCAAGGAGTCGCTTGGCCAGGTCTGTTGTAAATGGTGACCATTTCTTCTTTGTTTCGGGTGGGGGGTTCAAGCTTCTTTGCTCTATTTTGCTATGGTCTTGGTAAGAGGTGCAAAATGATAGAGGGTGGATATCGTTGGGCCTCTCCCTTGATGCCAGTGTTCTGGCGCCCTTCTGAAGTGAGTGAGTGAGTGAGGGAGGGAGGGAGGGAGGGAGTGACAGACACCTGAAAGACCCCAAAGATCACAGCTTCGGGATGATGTTTCACCCTGAGCCACAAACCCCAACCTAGAATCTAGCTTGGGTGACGTGCCAACTGATCAAGTTTGCCCCGGCGGATGAATCGTCTCCGTGGTGATGTAAATAAAGAAGCCAGTGGGTGCGCTGACTGGCGCGGTCAGGCCGCTGGTGACGTCCCTCGGCCACGATGTGTTGTGGTTTACGCATGTGTTGTTTGCGATGCGTGTCAGGGTTTGTTGTTTGTCGTGCTACTCGTGTTTGTCTTGTGAGACGTATTGTCAAGCAGTCATGGTGCGTGCTATGGTTATGTTTGGTGTGTCATTTTTTGTTGTCGTGTTTATTATTGTGAGTTAAGGGAAGTGTTTGGCATCCTGCTTGGGACTACGTGATCTATCTATCTATATATATACTTCAGGGAGCCAACAGTTTATGCTTGTTAACCATGTTCAAAAACGCTGTACGGTCAGCTGCGGGTCGAATTACCAAGGCCAATTTTTGTGGCAGGTGTGGGACGGTATGACAGTCAAATATTACACCGTTTTAACTTTTATATTAATAAAAGGCTTCCCGGTGTGAAGAATAACCGCCCGGACGGCCCCAAGTCCCACAATGTAGGATTGTACGGGGTAAGGGTTGGCATGAGTTTGTGTTTCAAGAGCATCTTTTGTTTGGCCAGAGTATAGTTCCCGGTGGGCTCAAACCTGCAAATTCTGTGAAGCAGGGAGCTGGCTTGTTTAGAGCATGTAAGCCCAGGATGCACTTCTGTAAAGAATTGACAGAGTTCAGGATTCTCAAAATTATCCAGCCGGTTCAAGTTGAAGTGCTCACATGTGCGATTCTACCTCAACCTACGTAGTATCAGACCGTATACCAGTTATATACAGTGTACATGTGCAGTGTTTGGTCGCCGGGTCAGGATGAAGCAGACATGCGCAAAAGGCTTGCTACGTGTGCAATGCCATTGATCCTGTGGAGCTTTATATAGATGGTTTAGTTTAGTTTAGTTTTTTAAGCTTTAGGTCAGGTTTTGATCTTCATCCTGGAAGAGGTTGAGGGTGGGATGTGGAGCTTGCAAAGACTGCAGGTGTTATGTTTTTTAGGTATCATGCTCTCGCTGTTTTTGATGAACGTAGCTTCTACTTTGAGCATAAAACCTCTACAAATTCGGCACCCACACCACGAGAACACCAAGTCCAAAACGAGACAAGTACAGTACATAGATCAAGATCATGACTGGTAGCCGCATTAGAGTCCTCGATGAGGTAAAAGGGTCATTCATGATGCGGGCATTATATAACCCCGATTTTTGCTTTTAACTCAATTGTTTTCATTTCAGGAATTTCTTTACGTTTTGATACGGCTTGCATTTTAAATAAGGAGACTTGAACATTATGCGTGTCGTTGCATGTTGTGTGTGGTTGTATTTGTCGTGTTTTGTCAGGTGTTATGTTTGGTGTTGCCATTATATTTGCGTCATTGTTTGTTTGGGCCTACACTCTTCCATACCGATCAAGTGGGGGAAGCCATCATGTAATCATGTACCATTTTTGATCAGATCCGAGCCCAGGTGTGTGCGGCTGATGCACCGCAAGGACTTACGAACACGGAAGGAACAAAAAGAGGCTCGATCAAATTGGATTTGAAGGGGGCCACACTTGGTCGACACGAAGGGTTCGTGATGTGAAGCTGGGGCAGTGCACCTTCATGTGAGTGCCCCCCAACCTTGACCCAGTTGCATGTGAAGAGCATCATCGAATCAAGACACGTGCCCTCTCGTCACTTCATCCCCATTCTCCTTACCGTTGTGTCCCAAGAACTGAATCCAGTCACAGATTGTCTCGTCGAGGCCAAAAAGTTGGAGGCAGAAGGTAAAGCTCCGCCAGTGACGTTGGATATGGATGGTCGCTGAGCATGTGATCGGGGTCAGTGTGTGCGCGTGGTGCAGGGGGTGTGGGTAAAGGGCTTTGACAAACCTCTCCACCCCAAAAATGGTTTAAACACCCGAAGTTCTGAAAGTACTGGTGGAGTGCTCGAAGCATTTGGTGAATAGCATCTGGATGCATTTGGTAAGTATCCAACCCAACAGTCCAAGAACTACAATCAGCATCAATCCGATGGTGCAGAGATATTCTCAGTTTCCAACCCCTGTCGGTGGGTTGGCAGTTTGAAACGCATTGACTCTGCAAGGCGGTCTGGGATGGTACGGAGGTTTGTATACCTATGTAGTTTGGCTGTTTGACTGGACAATTTTCTGGACCATCATCCAATGGTTTCAAACAGTTGTGAAAAGTTCAGGTTTGTAGGAGATCGCCTTGGTCAAACATTTTTCCGTGAGGAAGTTGTCCTCCTTTTCTTTTCACAAGAGCAGGGCACCAGGGGTTTCCCAGACTCGCTGACGTGTGCTGGGCGCTTTGCGTGTTTGCTCCAAGGACATCCTGAACATCTTCTTTATGTCGGCCGTGCGCAGAAGAAGGAAGAGCGGGAAGCGATGTTTCAGAAACAGTTCCTCGACGGGCTCTGCCATTTTCGGAGCTCAGAGGATTGGGGCTAGACTATGGCCATGATCCGTGTTGCGGTCGCCTGTTAAACACGAGTCTATTGTGGCAGCTTGCTGGGTGCAATGGGCGTGCATCTCTGGGTTGGTCAGGGACAAAACCCAGGGCATCACAGAAAGTGGACCGATGGATTCGGATACTGTAAGTCAAAAAGTTGACCGTCAATGCATTACTTTGGCTCTCATCCAACATGAAACCACTCTTGGGGATTTGAATGACATTTTAGGTCCAAGTTTCAAAGCACCCTTGTTTGATATGCTTTCCCGAGACCCTCTCACGGATTCCATGCTCCAATGCTTGAGACTTGGCAATTTGGTTTGGTCAAGGCTCCCGTGCAGCAGTGGGTGCAACAGCAGTACGTTGTAGAAACCACTGGTGTTGGTAAAGTACTGACGCTCGTATGGTACAGTGAGTTACTGAGATATTCCCCAGAAGCGCTACAATTTTTCTCCACTTAACAGTAGTCATTGCGAGCTTCCTGATTGCGCGGCACACTTTAAACATCCACGGAATCAGGTCGTGAACGGTGTATATGCCCCGAAGTCGCTGCAATTCTTGATGGATGACATTCAGACAGAGATTGCAAATTTTTAGACATTTTGTTGTACAGTATAATTAATGGTTTATGTGGAGAGGTTTGTCGACTTGCATCTTTGGTTCGGGTCACACCCACTTAACCTCAGAATGCACAATGCTAAATCAACAACAGGATGCACCCTCCCAAACAGAGAACACCCCTGCCATCCTTGGTATATAGGGGAAGTCTTCATTTCTCCATCTCTTTTGCCAAGCCAGCATGCTAGTCAAGCCGCTATCCGCTTCATATGAGTTGGCTACGTTGCTACGGTCTATAGGTTTGGGATCCGTTCTCAACACCCTAAGCTTCTCAGGAAAGGTGCGGCTAAAGGAAATGGCAAAGGAGATGGAAAGGGCGAACGTTGAGAGCTCAGGACGCGTGAGTTTTCACCAAAAGCCTGGAAAAAGCATTGGTCATACGCATGTGTACAACAAGTGGGAGTGGTCTTGCATCATCGGCAGGCAGGGCTAGCATTTCAACTACTAATCTAATGTTCATTGTCACCAGCAACCAGCAAGATTTGCAAAGTGTCTCCGCCATGGCAACATCCATAAGAGGCAGGTACACCCATCAGCTATCATCAGCTCATCTTTCTTCCACCTTACAAGGGCCATCGCCGAGCTGGAAGTTTTTTTATCGTTTCCCGAAGGCGTTTTCAAAAACGCCTTTCGATGATCGCGCGATGAGGCGAGAACTGTGGTAAAAGTGCTACGCCCCCCACACTGTGCGATCACTCAGGGATGGAGCATCCGGGAACCGGTTGACATAAACTTTTGTCCTTGGTTGGAGAGGGTGAATTGAGGTTTTGGCTCGGCATTCAACAAACATTCAGTAACGTAGCAAGCCACCAGTGGATTTGGAGGAAGACAAGCAGCAGTTTCTTATTTGTGGCCTGGACAGCAGTTTTTCTTGGGTTAGTCTCACCCAAGCCACCCAGCCTAGATCCGCTTGCCATCTTCCTGAGGTCGTCAAAACCCATGGCCACATTGCCGCGACCCACGCGCACGACTGCTGGGTGGCCCTAGCAGCGGGACGCCAAACGGCTAGAAGTTCCACCTAGTGACGGGAAGAATTTTGGAGAACAGTTAGATTGTTTATCAGTTTGCCACTTGATTGCTTTTTTATCCTTGGTGACGGTGGCGGCGGCGGTGCTACTGCATTGCCGCTGTTGGTTTGAGGCAGCCTGGGCTGTCCAAGCGTGGGTGTACTAATGTTTTACCTGGAGAGTTTGGCATTTGCTGAGTAGGATCTAGTGCACTTCAGGATGTGTTGGGATCATTGCGCAATTGACTTGGGGTGAACCAATCGTGGAGTGTTTCCGCCCAAGCCTGGTCGGTCAGCGGTCAAGGATCCACCGAGCTGGAGCACGCCGCTGTATGCGCCGTTGGCCAACGGAGGCAGCTGGAGCCCCAACATCGGAAGATTTTGTGTAGAGTAGAAACAATGTTTGCTACTAGTAACAAGTGCATCGCTTCTAGTAACAAGTGCCGCCGTAGTTGCCGAAAACGGACATTTGGCAACTGTACTGACACAGAAGTTGACCGTGCATGCACGGTTTGTGTAACAAACAGTTGGTCCAAAACCTCCACATTCACAATTGTGCAAAGCACCTGAGGGGGTGCCGTGGCCGAGGCTATACCAATGGAACCAGCCAATTGACGGGAGCAGGCTGGAATCCTGGTGTGACGCAGCTTCGCCACGCGCATGTGTTTACCTTCTCCTACAGGCCTGATGTTCTTCCATCGCTGGCGGAGCTGCCAACTTTGACTTCTTGAGAATCCCCCGACTCGAGCACCTTCGGGCCCATTTGGACGCCCTTCGTGCGAAAGAACTGGGCAGGCTATGTGAACGGACATGGTGGTGGAGGTGGGACCGTTTGTGGTCAAGGGACTCCATGGCATGAATCAGCGTGTCAGCGTTGTTGGACATTGACATCGGACAATTCAATTTCCGGACCTCATCCCTTCATACGAGAAGAACTGTTCAAAGAGCAGGGAGGGAGAGGGAGAGTGAGAGAAAGAGAGAGAGAGAGAGACAGTGAGAGTGAGTGAGCGAGCGAGCGTGAGTGAGTGAGTGAGTGAGTGGAGATAAAGTGGTTTGTGGAGCCATTGGGGCCCCAAACGCTCTTTCTACATTTCCACTCGACGGAACCAAAGATCAACCGTCATTCCTGCGCAGGGTCCATCGGGGCGCTCGTGCGTTCGCAACATGTTGCCAGGATGGTCTGAAGGCAACTGGCAATCACAGGCTGGAGCAACGCCCCTTGCGTGTGAGTTGGACCATGGACAGTTGGAGTGAGCCCATTCAGGATGGGATCTGGATCACACAGATTCTGTGAGATACATAGCCACAATGAACTTCAGAGACTCAGACTCAAATCAGATCAAATTAGGCAGCTTTCTTCGTGACTGGAGAGGCGGTCAAGGACACCATAGCTGGAAGCAAAAAACTGAACGGTACCAATGCTACGTGCCATTATGCACCGTACGCCGACAGTGCGTACAGCTCCCTCCTGGAGGGGATTTCAGTATCCAGGCACCATGGAGCAGCGAGACCTATTCCAGCACGTGGGAGAGGCCACACTATACATCCAGTTGGGATTCTTGGCCCGGTCTGGTGCCCAGATCTTTGAATTGGGCAGTCAGGCGGGCGAGTCAGGTGAGAATCTTGGCTTCGAACTCACCTCAGGATTGAACTCGACAATTCTTTGAATCATCATTGTACCTCAATGTTCCAACTTGCTCAAAGGAATGGTGTTTGAAGTAGTGTCGGTGTCAGTCCCCAAGAAGACAGGTCTAGGTCTAGGTCAGGAAGTCCTGGAAACAACAGTCAGACAGTGCGCCGGAAGTTTCTTCAGTCGTGCCAAGGCACGGGAAACTACAACGGCACCAGCACCAGTTATGGAGGGTGTGATGTTTTTGATGGAGTGTATAGCCCCTTGGCTTGCACCTGTGCGCTTTTATCATTCTACTAGCCTGTGTTGAAACTGCTTGTTTCTCAAGTCTTGCCCTGCCCCTTGGTGGTCTGATAACTCCAGGATTGTTGTTCATGCGGGTGAAGCGTATGGTTTGCCGAAGACGAGGAGCCAATCAGCCACATTTGCCGACCATGCTGCTCTGAGGCAGCCACATCACATCATACCAGATGCCAGCTGGCTGCACGCATCAAAGCGGCCAGAGTGAAATTGTTATATAGTTGGATCGGGGGAGTGTGCCCAAGGCATGGGTCAACGTGGTACATCGTGTGGTACAACAAACTTATATATGACATTACCCGCATGCGATACACTTGCGAGATACATTCTACGTATGTATACTGTAATGGGTCCAGCACGTTTGGGAAAGAACTTCACACAGTTGGCCCCTGTAATACGTAGTGCACACCCATGAAGAGTGCAACCAACAAAACGGACAGATCATTGCAACAGATTGCCGGTGCAGTGCTCTCAATCCAATGGTTCAGGCCACACCCAACGAGTTTTATGCATTGGTGGCCCGGAATCCACCGAACAATGGCACAGTTCTTGAGCCTGATGAACAGAAGTCATTGACCCCTCATTTTCTTCTCCAGTCTGCAGGACTGCCCTTTGAAGCTTGCAGCTTTTGGCAACAGCTTGACTGCTTCCCCGATCTTGAGCAAAAGAAGCAGATGACTAGTGACTAGACTCCCTCCGCCTTTGACGTGTCCAGCACGTCCACTGAGGCCGGGCCCCAAAGAGCGGGCCACATCCGAAGAAGACCTACGTCCTTTGCACATGGAGACGGCCATGTTCAGATGTTCCAGACCCTGACAGCGACGGCCGCCGTTGGCTTTCGGGTGGACAGCTGGGACAGGCTGCCTGCACAAATCACCGGCCAGACGGTCCCGACGAAAGAAGACCCGCATCCACAGGGGTCATGAGATATATAATCAAATCCGAACATGGGAAGTCCATGGGTGACTGGGGATACCTACAGGGACCGGTGTGTAGTCCAGATTGAGGGGAACAAAGAGCATGAGTTCACATGCACGAGCCCCTGACTTCCGCGACGCACACAGTTCGATACTGTACTGGCTTGGAACTATCTTGTCCCCAGTGATGCTTGCGGATAGTTCCCTTAGGCCTCTCAAAAATTCTTGTGCTACTTGGCAATGAGGATCTCCACTTCCATGCTCATGTTTATGATTGCTGTAGGCGAGTTTGGTGAGTAGTTTCCGTCGTCTTCATGGAGAATGGACCTGAATTGTTGGTGCAACACGCTGTGAGTCTGAATCATTTTCAACTTCCGCGTCTTCCGAAGGGTTCGTGCAGACGGTTCGGCGCAGACGGTTCGACCCATCGGTTTGGCATGGTTCTTGGGGATTTGGGTCGGGCTCTCAAATCCTGTTTTTTTTTGACTCGTAGGAATCGCATGGAATCCCAGCGCTCTGTTATAGCTTTCAATGTTGGGAACACAAGCCGACACCTGCTGCGGGCGCCCCAAGCGCGCCCGGCGCCGGTAGCTGTTGCTGAATGATCTGCCGATAAATTCGATGGCGTCCTGCTCTCGGGCCTAAAGAAATAACCCCCTTGGCCAAGAAGTCATAGGTGTTAGAGATATGACGATGAGGCTTTTAGTGTAAGGTGAGCTTTTGGGCAAAGGACACTTGGCTACACTTGCCTGATCAAGCCTCGGATAAAGAACCAATCATGCCCAAACCAAGCAACAGCGGTGGTAGCGAGTCGTCTTCTTCACACTTTCAGGTATTTGTCGGAACGAGTCGGAACCGTTATGAGTGCCCACCCCACTGCGATCGCGAGCTTGTCGTTGGGGTCCGGGAGTGCACACTGCGATCTGGAGCTTGCGATCTGGCGCTTGCTGTGGAGGTCGGGGAGTGCCCACTGCGATCGTGAGCATGCTGTTGAGGTCCGATGGTGCCCATTGCTGTTGAGGTCCGGGAGTGCCCACTGCGTGGAGCTTGCTGTTGTGGTCCGGAAGTGCCCATTGCGAGCTGGAGCTTGCCGTTGCGGTCCGAGAGTGCCCACTGGGATTTGGAGCTCCTGTGGGGGCTGCCCGCTGTGATCTGGATGTTGCTGTTGAGGTCCACCGCGGGCTGGGATTTCGCGCTTGCTGTCGAGGTCCGGTAGTGCCCACTGCGATGTGGCGCTTGTTGGGGGGTCCGGGAGTGACAGGTGGGGAAAAACGGCTTATACAACCATATACATCAGTTGCGTATACAGCCCGTCTGGTTGAGCAAATTTAGCCCGACTTGGAGCACAGCTCGGGCAAGACCCTGGCCTGTCCTTGAGGCTGTTGTGGGTCTGCCCCAGGCGAAGCCAATTGAAACATGGTGGCGCTATTGGACTGCAAGGGCAGTTTAATGACTTCTTTCCTGCGATGTTTGAAAGCCTATTCCCACACAATGGGCAGTTGCAGTAGTTCATCCCCGTGCAGAGGGGGCAGTTTTGGCAGCCCGATTCCGCCCCACCTGATTCGGCTGCAGCTTTGTCGCTCGATGATGGAGCAGGCTCACCCCGCAGTGGCGAGGCTTGAGGATGGCACACTGGGGGTCGTTGGGAAGGTCGAAAGACCCGAAGTGACCAACTCAAAATACTGAGAGCCGAGGTGAAGCGGCCCCACCAATCCGGGCCCACATCAGGCCAGAAGTTCCATAGAGATTATAAAGTTTCACTTTCCCAGCCGCTTCCGGTGTGGACCTCTGCTTCTGGTGTGTTTCACAACCTGGTTTCACTGCAAACGTCCCCTCCGTTAGATTTGCACCGCTGCCTGGTGCACCCTAGGCCTTGATCCAAGGAAGGTCGGTCTGGAATCCTGCTCTCTCCTGGCGCAGGTGCGAAAAGTCATCTCGGATAGGTTACTATTTGGTGGGGTTTCATCACGTCGCATGCCCCATGTCGATATGGTCTTTGCAGAAAGTGTTTGGGCAACTCTTCTCGGGTCTTTTGAGATTGGAAGAACGATCAGATGCCCATCCTGACTGAGATATGTTTATAGTATATTTTGTTTTTAAAATCACATTTCTTTTTCATGTTGTAGTGATTTGATTGAGACTGGAACTGGACCAGAACAATTGCAGATTGCATTGGCAAACATGTTCGCACCGTGGCGCTTGGGGTTGCTCGCTTGCGATGGCGTCTGACTCACCTCATGCACCCCATCGTATCATTGACTTCGACCCGGCCGTGCGAAGGTTGAGAGTATACCAAGAAAAGTGAATGAACAAAAAACGTGTAAAAAATGCACCTGGAACATTGTTTTCATGTTTTTGTTTTCATGCCTGATGATTCACCTGCGTGTGCCGGCGGCCTTTTGCGACCCTTTGGGGCTCAAACAGCCTGCGAAGTGGACTGAGCCACCTGCTCTCCTCCTCCTGTGCCACACTCACTCTCTAACTCACTTACTCACTCATGCCCTTTGGC